CCACTGCTTCCCAGCCCACAGGTCCAGCTGGTAGGTGTCCCCAGTGCTCATGTTGACCATCAGCATGTCGCACAGGCACACGGCGCCTTCTCCATTCACAGGGACACACGTGTGGTTTCTGCGGACACGGGCTGTGTTAGGCTGGTCGTGCACGTATGGGTGTCCCCGTACATGCCTCAAGGAACCACATGCTCTTCTAGTTCCCGGTCACCTGCCTCAGGACCAGGTCAGGGGACTGGGAAGCAGAGCGGCCAGCGTGTGTGGTGGGGACAGTGGGCTAGGACTGCCTTCCCTGCTGCCACAGCCCCTCACCACACCCACATGGGCTCTGACACGCCCCTGGCTGCGGCCTCGCTCCCAGGACTCAGCTCACCCCGGAAGGCCGTGGAAGGGAAGCGCCGTGGCAGAGAAGATTCTGTAACAGCACGTGTGTGTGGGGGACACACCTCGGGCACAGCCTCTCCCACACACAGGGGACTGTGGCACATGCCCTGCCACTGTATGTCATCCAAACGTGCCTCCCAAAACAGCCAACCGTGTCTCATGGGCTAGGGCCACGGGTAGCCAACGTTTTTCGTAAAGGGCCAGACAGTGAGCATTCAGGGCTCTGAGAGCCAGACCATTTCTGTCCTCGCCACACACTCTGCTGGTCCAGAGCAAATGGTTAAACACCCTCCTAAGGAGAGAATGCAGAAAGGGGGGTGGGGGGGGGCGGGGAGGAGAAAGGGAAAAAGGGCAGTTTTACTCCCTAAGCCAGTGGTTCTCAACCTGTGGGTCGAGACCCCTTTGGCGGTCGAATGACCCTTTCACAGGGGATCCTAGAGAAAGGGCTGAGTATCAGATATTTACATGACGATTCATAGCAGAGCCTAGAGCAGCGGTTCTCAACCTGTGGGTCGCGACCCCTTTGGCGATCAAACGACCCTTTCACAGGGGTCGCCTAAGACCATCCTGCATATCAGATATTTACATGACGATTCATAACAGTAGCAACATGACAGTTATGAAGTAGCAACGAAAATAATTTTATGGTTGGGTCACAACATGAGGAACTGTATTTAAAGGGCCAGAAGGTTGAGAACCACAGAAAAGCCAGTAGTCTCAAGGCTTAACAAGATAATAATGCCAGGTGCCTCTCATGAATTCTGGAAGGCCACAGCAAAGTAAAAAGGGACCTTGAGAATCAATCTGCTCCACAATAGTCAGCAGAGGAATTTGAAACCTATAGACAGGAGGGTATCTAATGCCTCAGACCCCCACCTAACTCACTCTTCAGGTCAGCTGGGAGCCCGTCTGCCCTTCACAAGCCAGATGCAGAGGTCTGCTTGCCTCGCTTCTTTAATGAAGGTGCATGCTTCCATTGCTTTAATAAAACTGGCTTCGTCACAGTGCAATCGTGGTCTCTCATATAAACTCATCGATATGAGAAGACAAGGAGCGAGGCTGGGAGCAGCCCTCTCCCCCTGACTTGGGGGCTGTCCGGGAACCTCTGGTGTCGGGGAGAGGTGCTTCTAACAAAACTACCTGCCACTTTGCTCTCTCACACGCGTACAGGGGAGTTTTCTGGAGAACACATGGCCTGTTACGGTGTCATGGCTCTGGTGGCTTGTGTGCTGTGATTTAAATGTCCTGGTGTAATCCCTAACGGTAAAGAGCGATCGCTATAGGCCACCTGCACAAACGCTTTTGCGGTCCTCGCTAATTTAAGCATGCTAGAGTCCTGGGACTAAGTGCTTGAGAACCACTGGTCTGGTCCAATATTCCACCCACATCCACATGCCATGGGCCTGGGAGCGTGTGTTCGGAGCGTCATGACACACCCACTGTATCACACACTGCGCCCCGGCGCCCCAGCTCCAACCCCGGGCCCAGGAAGAACCGCGGGGAACTGCATTCGGCACCCGGCACTCCACCGGGACCAGGTGAACTCAGGCCAACCTCCCGGCCTCCCCTCGGCCCCGCCCGTCCTCACCCCCGCCACCTCCCTGGGCACAGGCTTACTTGGAACCCAGCTGGTAGGTGAGGTGGAGCTCGGCTCTACAGTCGGTGGGGCCGCCCATCCTCCACTCACAGGTGGAGGTGCTGAGGTAGTCGGAGAAGCAGGTGGGCCCATCCCGGACCTGAACACTCCCTGGGGAGACACAGGAGCGCTCTGAGCAGCCGCAGCCCAACAAGCAAGAGCGCCATGGGCCACCGGGAAGGTCGGAAACCAGCTGGAACAGGACCAAGGGGCCCAGCACAAAGCAAGGGAACCACCGCCCCGGGACCGCTCCTGTGCCGTCTTCACAGAGCCTCCTGCTGCACTGAGGCCATCCTGAAGCTGAAGAAGGGCCCTGGGGTGCGGGCCCCCTCGGGGGACACCCCAATGACCTTTATGTGCTGCAGCTCACCTACTTGCCTTTGGCCAAATTAAAGGGAAACACGTGGCGGTGTGAGGAGGGCGACCCGCCAGCAGCACCTGCCCTGCAGCGCGTGGCGTGCGGGAGGCGGCTGTCCCTGCGCCGCTCCCGCCCCACCCGCTCCACCCCGCTGAGCTCAGGAGGCTGATCCCCACGGTCTGTCCCCCAGGTGCCCTTGGCCGCTGGCTCCTTGTTGGGTTTGGCCAATATCAAAGGGCGGGATGAGAGGGCGGGGTGCTTCGTCCAGCCGGTCAGCGGCAGAGCTGGCTTTGAACCCGGCAGATTTCAAAAGCCCGGAGTAAGAGCCAGGCAACACCTGTCCCAAGAGATGCATCTTGGAAAACATCCCACGGCCTGAGCTTGAGTCCCCTCGGACTTCTGGGAGTCCCTATGCACATCAGGTTTGCCGACGTGCGAGCGCCATCACCCAGCTCTAGACCGCCGAGCCCTGGCCGGCAGGCATCGCGCTCCAGTGGCCGCACCGGCCCATCCCCCGCGGCCCTCCATTTGCACTGGTTCTCTGGATAGAGGGCTCCCGTGTTAAGGAGAGTCGGGGGTATCTAGTCAACATCGCAGACTCTCCGCATCCGATTCCCCGCTCCCCAAAGCCCAGATCCCTCTGCATCTCAGAAATGACACCGCGCCCTTCCTGCCTGCTCAGGTCAGAGCTCTCAGCGTCACCCCAGCCCTGCTCCCGCCCCGCATTCCAATCTCTCTTCAAATCTCTCTCCCAGAAGGGCCCGAAGCCAGTACCCTCCATCTCCTCTGCTGGGCCACGCCACCCGGCCTCCCCCTGGCCTCCCGGCCTCCACCCTCCTGCTTACAGACAAAGGGATCCCTTTTAGTGTCAAGGTCACGTCACTCCTGTGCTCAAACCCTGCCAGGTCCTTCCTGACTTGGCCACCTGCCTCCGGCCCTACCCCAGCCTCCTCTGGTCCCTCTAGCTCTCCAGGCAGCAGGCTCTGGGCTCCGGCCTCCACTGAGGTCCGCCCGCAGGTATCTGCACGCTCCCCCTCCTTCAAGTCTTTGCTTGAGCGCCTGTCACTCATGAGGACGTCCCTGAGCACGTGTTTTAAATTGCAATCCTCCACTTGACCCCGCTGTCCCAGTCCTCCATGCTCTGCCTTATATCGTCTTTTCCCACCACCTTCTGACAATCCTAGAATTAGCTTATAATTAGGGCCATCTGTCATTGGCTGTCTCCTCCCACTACAGCGTCATCTCTAAAGCCAGGGATCTTTGTTTTGTTCAGTGATTGAGCCTGGCAGGTGGACAGTCAATACATGTTTACTGAATGAATGAATGAATGAATGAGAGGTGGTGACTTACCAGAGCCTGCTGCCCACACCAGGATCAGGCAGCTCACAGGGAACGTGAGCCCAGAGCCAAGCCACCCCATCGGGAGGTCCTAAGGCACCTGCTGAGAGAAGGTGAGCCAGGTGAGTGCTGACTCGTGGTCCCCACCCCGCCAATCATCCCGCGTGCAGCCTTCAGAACTCACCTTACTCCAGACACGACCGCCCCCCACCCTGGCCATTTGTGTCTCAGCAACAGTGAGCCCTCCCTGTTCATCAGAGATCTGTTCATAGCATGAAACCCAACCCAGGTGCACAAAGCCCCGCGTGAGAGCCAGGAACACCTGTCTCGAGAGATGCTTCTGGGAAAAAATCCCTAAGTTTGAGCATCCTCAGGCGTTTGGAAGTTCACAATGCACATGCGCACATAAAGGTTCTGATAAGTCCTGCAACAAGGAAACTTTTCTTCACTTAACTCAACACTTACCAAATTTATTTACCCAACCTTCATTTGTGTGTGCGTGTCAAACCCCCAATTAATCCTCCAAAGGACTTACAATTCCTTGAAATAGTTTGGAAATTCTAACCCGACTGTCCAACCTTACAGAGTTGGTTAAATAAATGGTGGTTTACCCATGCAACAAAGTATTGGGCAACCACTAAAAATGATGCTGTCGGATGTGTTAGTCTGACTACATTAATGGCCTCAATTCTTCACTCCTGTGTCCATGTAACCTTGCAGTGCCACCCCCCCCACACCCCCTCCGCTCTGGGCAGGGCGTTCTCCCTGCGTTTGGACTCTGGGCTCGCCATGTGACTGGCTTTGGCCAGCAGAATATTAGCCAGAGTGAGGCAGGCACAGGCCTGCTTTGCACAACCACTGCCTGGAGAACGTGCCTGGCCTCGCCTGTTGGAGGACGGTGACGGGCCAGTCCCAGCAGTCTCCCTCCGCACTGGCGACGGGCGGCTGCCCAGCCCTGTGGTGACCTCCACCTCCGCAGGCCTGGCAGCTGACCCGCGCTGACCTCAGGGGCATGAGCGAGCCCACGAGGTCAGGCCAGCCAGACGGCTGCGCCCACACGCTCGAGCTAGGAGTCCCTGACACACCCCGAGGCTTTGTGCCTGCTCCTCACACAGCACATTACCCCTCCCCGACTTCTAGCCCCACAGAGGGTTATAGCTGTGAAAGCATGGACCGCCCTCATGTGTTAACGACATCCCACAAGACGTCACTGGGGAATAAAGACTAGAAGGTACAGACACCCAAAGAGGAAGCACAGTTCGAATCCCCCAGATCACAAGCCCAGCAACACCCCACTCACATGTGAGGACCGATTCTCTCTTTGCTGCTATGGACACAGGGAGATAAATGTGAAATTCAGTTACCAAAATAGCAGCACCGTCTACACATGAAAACTTGCGTCTTAAACTCACTGCATCATTAACATCCATCCCCGCCACAGCGTTCAGATGCAAAGCCTCAGGTCAGTGTGGCCCCCGGTGCGGTGTGCCTGGCGCTGGGCTGAGCCTTCCTTACTCTGTTACTTTGTTCCGCACGGGGTGGTGTCTGCCCGTCCCCGGGGGACCTCACCACACGTTTCTCCGATCATCTCCTTAAGTCCCGCACCTGCTCGCCATGCGCTCCTGTGAGCCCTGCCTCAGTCTCCATGGCACTGGGCGCTGCGGGGATCACGGGAGCTGACACACGGGCGGCCTCAAGCCACCTGGCACAGGGGGGTGGAGGAAGGTCGCCAGTGGTTTCCTGAGGACGATGCTCAGAAGCAGAACCCCATCGGGCCACCAGCGTCACCCCCAGCACTCCCGGCACCTCATGCCGAATGCCCCCTACAAAGCACTGTCCTGGGCTGTATTCCGGGCAATGCTGATGGCGCCCACCCGCGTTCCCGGGGGTCTCTATCTTGGGGTCATGTCCAGAGAGGCAGCTGCCAGGCCTCCTCCTGCCACTCGGTAGCCATGTGCCGCCCAGTCACTGTCTCTGGGCTCCGGCCGCTCTACCTGCACCGGGAGTGACGGATGACGCTCACAGGTGCCCTGCACAGAGGAGGCGGCCCCAACGCTCTCTGCCGTGTCGGGAGCACGGTGGGGGCTGGAGCCACAGCAGAAGCCCCAGCCCCTGCGCCAAGCTCCGGGGGCTTCATCCCCTGTTACGGCCAAAGGTGATCCTGAGTGGGGGGTGAAAGGATTGAGAAAAGACAGACAAGAGAATGAAAGCTGGGTCTCGGTGGGACGCTGCTCCCTGATGAGGAGACAGCGCCGGCGCCCACAAGCCGTGACTTTATTTTATAGCAGATGCCACGAGGCAAAGTAGGGGCGTGATCACGTTGTTTACAGCATTCTCGTGAGTTTCATCCTCACTCAACTACATGCACCTGGACTCTAGCACAAGGCACGTGGGGCCACGTGTTCGGACCACAGGTTCAAGCTTACAACCACAGCCGTTGGCTATAATTGTGCTGGGAGGGCCCTGCTGGGACTTGCACGTGGCAATGAGAGGACCCTGTCCTTTCATTAGTCCGAGGCTTGAACCTGGCCAAAACACTGCAGCCGCGCCCCACAATCCCCCATGAAGGCTCTGCCAGTGGCCGCCTCCCTCCCCCAGCCCAGCAGCTGTGCACCTGGCTCCTGCCACCTGCTGGCCTCCACTCCCACTGCTCCTCCAGCACACCCCACTCAGGCCCACCCCACCCTCTCCTCTCCCGTCCTTTCCATTCATTTCCCTCCCTCAGCCTCTCTCTCTTATTTATTTATTCACAGGAATAAACTGCCCCTCAATACTCCAGGGTAGATTTCAGGGAAACAAGGACATACCCTGCATAGCCACAACGCAACCAGCAAAGTCAGGAAATTACACGGACGCACGACGCAATCCAATCCGCTGACCCTGCTTCCATTTTGCTAGCGGCCTCCACAGCGCCCTTCGTCCGCCAGGACCCAGCCGGGCATCGGATCACCATGCGTCCGGCGCCCAGGTCATGGCTTCTAAATCCTACTCTGCTTTGAAAGGAACCAGCACCCCTTGGGGAAATTCTGGCTCCAGGAGCAGGGAGGGGCCCGCCTGGATTCGCTGTGCCAGGAAGGAAGAGCTCAGGAATGCCGGGGACACGGTGAAGGGCAGGGGTCAGCTGGAACGGTGCCCACTGGCCCACATGGGCACAACGGAAGCATCACAATGACATTATATAAACCAGCTGTAGCCCCGGGAGTTACAGCAGGGGTGCAGGAGTCTGCAGTGACAGGTCACAAGTCGGGGAGCAGGGACAGCTCTCATCACCACGGCAGCCTCTAGCTCCCCACCAACCTCGTGTTAGTTATTTACTAGTTAATGAGTCAGAATAACTAACATTATAATTTTATATAATTTATCTACACTAATAAAAGAGAAACATGGTAATTAGCGTACAACCACTACCCTTTTCATTGGCTAATCAGTGAGTATATGCAAATTAACTGTCAGCCAAGATGGCGGCCGGCAGCCAGGCACTGAAGCGAACATGAGGCTTGCTTGCTGCAGACTCCAACATTCCCCGCCTCACTTGCCGGCCTCTCAGCTACAACTCTAAGCAACTATGTACTATGTTGCAAATAAGAAGATAAACAAAACCCCAGAAACCAGCTGGACTGAAAGCCAGGCGGACCAAAACTTTGTATTGATGTTTTCAGCAGCGAGGCCTCAGAGCTAAAGCTGGCCCAGAATAAAAATAAAAAATAAAAAATAAAACAAGGAGCAGTTGGAAGCTTCAGTCACTCGCTTCCGGAAAACAGCCCTCAGCCCCTCACCCAGAATGGCCAGGCACCCCAGTGGGGACCCCCACCCTGATCCAGGACACCCTTCAGGGCAAACCAGCCAGCCCCTACCCGTGCACCAGGCCTCTATTCTATATAGTAAAAGGGTAATATGCCTCCCGGCACCGGGATCAGCGTGACAGGGGGCAGCGCCCAAACCCCCTGATCGCCCTGCGGCTCTGTGTGTGACAGGGGGCGGGGCCACAACCTCCCTATCTACCCTGCTCTGTGCCTGATAGGGGGGAGCTCCCCAATCCCCTGATTGCCCTGCGGCTCTGTGTTTGACAGGGTGCAGCCCACCAACCCCCTGATCAGCCCTGCTCTGTGTGTGACAGGGTGCGGCGCCCCAACCCCCCCCCTCCCCACGGACACTGCTCTGTGTGTGACAGGGTAGAGCCATAACCTCCCCATTGGCCCTGCCCTGAGTGTGACAGGGTGCAGCGCCCCAACCCCCTTATCCGCCCTGCTCTGTGTGTGATAGCGGGGAGTGCCCCAACTCCCCTATTGGCCCTACTCTGTGAGTGACAGCGGGGAGCTCCTCAACCCCCTGATCGGCCCTGCTCTGTGCATGACGGGGCGGCGCCCCAACTCCCCAATCGGCCCTGCTCTGAGCCTGACCAGGGGCTGCACCTAGGGATTGGGCCTGCCCTCTGCCACCCAGAAGCAGGCCTAAGCCAGCAGGTCGTTATCTCCTGAGGGGTCCCAGACTGCGAGAGGGCACAGGCCGGGCTGGGGGGCCCCCCCCCCTGCCGAGTGCACAAATTTTTGTGCCCCGGGCCTCTAGGACCTCTAGTATATTATATAAGGCTTGTAAAATTTACCTCATTTATGGATGATAAGAGGAATACTAAGAATCAAAGAGTAAATGTCACAGTCAAATATCCAAGCAGATTTGTGTGACTCTAAGCCACATTCTCTCACCTACTCTAGTGACTCTCAACCAGCCTGGAATACCATTCATGACTGGCTTTGGTATATGTATGGAGGATAAAATTTAACAAGACATAATAATTCCTGCCCTGAAGAGTCTTGTATTTTAAACAAGGAGACATACATGGAAATAACAAAGTGCTATAGGATTATGAATCCTCCTATCTAATAATAGACAAACATGGTAATTGACCTTAACATCGCTACACCTCCCATTGGCTAATCAGGGCTATATGCAAATTAACTGCCAACCAAGATGGCGGCCGGCAGCCATGCAGCTGAAGCGAGCAGGAAGCTTGCTTGCTCCAGTGATGGAGGAAGCCAAGGTTCCCCGCCTGCCACAGCCCGGCTCTCAGCTCCGAAAGCAACGAAGTTTCAATTATAGAAGCTAAACAAACCCCAGATACCTGCTTTCAGCAGGCCATGGCCTCAGAGCTGGAGTGAGTAGGAGCTGGCTCTCAGCTCCAGTGATGGCAACAAAGTTTCAATTATAGAAGGTAAATAAATCCCAGAATAAAAAAAAAAAAGAAAAAAGGAGAGGTTGGGAGCTTCAGTCACTGGCCAGCCTGAAAACGGCCCTCAGCCCCTCACCCAGACTGGCCAGGCACCCCAGTGGGGAGCCCCACCCTGAAGGGGGTGTGACCAGCTGCAAACAGCCATCAGCCACTCACCCAGGCTGGCCAGGCATCCCAGCGGGACCCCCACCCTGATCCGGGACACCCTTCAGGGCAAACCAGCCGGCCCCAACCCATGCACCAGGCCTCTATCCCATATAATAAAAGGGTAATATGCAAACTGACCCTAACAGCAGAACGACTGGGAATGACTGGTCACTATGACACACACTGACCACCAGGGGGCAGACGCTCAATGCAGGAGCTGCCCTCTGGTGGTCAGTGCGCTCCCACATGGGGGAGCTCTGCTCAGCCACAAGCCAGGCTGATGGCTGCCAGTACAGCGGTGGTGGTGGGAGCCTCTCCTGCCTCCTCAGCAGTGCTAAGGATGTCCGACTGCAGCTTAGGTCTGCTCCCTGCTGGCAAGTGGACATCCCCCGAGGGCTCCCGGGCTGCCAGAGGGATGTCTGATTGCCAGCTTAGGCCCAATCCCCTGGGGAGCAGGCCTAAGCCAGCAGGTGGACATCCCCCGAGGGGTCCCAGACTGCGAGAGGGCACAGGCCGGGCTGAGGGACCCTCCCCCTCCCGAGTGCACAAATTTTTGTGCACCGGGCCTCTAGTTAGATATAAGTAGCACTCCCAGGCCTGACCATCAAAAATGCCTGCAGGCATTGTCAAATGTCCCCTGGGGGACAGAATGACCCTCAGCTGACAGTAACTGCCCTAAGAGACACTCAGACACATACAGTCACCTCATGCAGGCTTCACAGTGGAAGTGGATCTGCACTATGTTTTAAAAGGTGAGTAAGAGTTAGGTGGCCCAGGGAGTTCCAGGAACAGCACTGAATGAGCAAGCACTCTGCATGGGCAGCCACAAGACTCCAGGGTGGCTGGGCTTTGGAGCCAAGGTGGCTGAATAG